ACTGAATTATTCATATTATAACATTGTACTAAATATCTTTGAAGATGGAATTTGATTTCAGGCTAATACTAATTTGAATTGTAGTAGCAGTACTTGTGTTAATCGATATATCTATTGGGAGATGTTATGGTCCCGTTACAGAACGATTCTGTCGGAGTTTGGAACCGTTAGATCAATTATCCCGAATGGTTAAAAGCCCCGACGGAATGGTCCCGTAACTGTATTGTAGCATATCCCATATCTATATATAGTTATATATGTATGTCTGTTTCTTTTGAAGTGTATATTATTGACTGATCACAAAATCACAACGCGTAGATATTATCTACTTTATTTGTATTTGAAGGCTGGAAACAAAGAGAAGAGGTTTTACATTTTAAATATTTTTTTTTTTTTGAAAAAATATATTTAAAATGACACTATCATATATACTATTTAACCATCTTATATTATATATTATTTAACTTATATCATATAACTACTATGTGGTAAATATATTTAATTGATAAGTAGATTTATTCTTTTTCAACTAAAATTAATAGATGAATTAATTTTTATTTATAAATATAGATATAATTACTCATGTATTTTATCATACAATATAGATGTCAAATCGAAACTAATGATGAATTAATGATTATTTGATATATTATTAATGAAAATTTGATAATAAATATAAAAGTTGATTTTTAAAATATATTTCCAATTTATGTTGTGAAAATGTATTATAATTAAATAAAAAAAATATTGAGAGAAAGAAAAATTGAGGCATAAAATATTCATTCTTTATAAACCATGTTCATAATAAAAAAAAAATCTTTTTATATAAAATTAATGCTCATAAAAATTGTCATAAATATACTATTTATGAATAGTTTCAAGTCTAATTATTTATAGACTGAAAGTAAATAGAAGTTATTCATGCCAAGTGATGAAACATTTATAATTTGTCAAATAGAACTTACGAATATGCCACTTAAGTTCAACACATTCGAAATTATATATACGGGGGAAATTTATGTCTCGCTAAGATATAAATTAGTGATAAATTAAAAAATTATATATATAAGTCCACAAGTTACAATGGGATCATCAATTTGTTGTTGGTTATTTATTATGTTCCTTTTCAATAATTAGTTGGTGAGACAGTTCATCTGTAATTCTGTATACCGTTTGACGTTAACGATAGTAGGACGCGGTTTAGTTTAAGCTTGAAGTACATACTCAACTAATATTCTTCTTTTCTTTTATACACTCAATTTCATCAATTTCAATTTATTTATTCCCTTTCTTCCACTTATATTTTTCATATAATTATTATATTAAAAATCAATCATTACTAAACATTTATACGTAAAATTTTACTATTCACCCACTTATATTTTCATAATCACTAATCATTATTTTACTACTTTTTATCACATCACAATCAATTATTATCATAATAAATAAATAAATAAATGAATAAAATAATTATATGCATTTATAAGAAAATAAAATAATGGCATCGGTTTTTCTATAGAGTCATCTGATTGTTTTTCTTACTGAGCCGTCACCTACGTGGATCTTGCGTGGCACAAACATGTGTATTAAAATACACAACATGTGTTTGTTTTTATTTTCTTTCCTCAACCTCTCGTTCTCCCCCCAACAGCTCCGTTGTGCCGCCGCCTAATTATGGCCCCGATCATCGGCGAACTGGAAGAGGAGATCACCTGCTCTTCACTGAAATCAGACGGTGACACCGCCTTCAACGGGCGGAGACTTTGTCGGTGCCACAGTGGTGGACAGAGGCGCGGTGATTTTTTGGCGCTGGATGCCACAGAGAAGCTTCTTCTCGCCCCTCCGGAAGCACTCTTTCGAGATCTCCCATCGATTGGGCATGACCTTTGTAAATCCTTATAAATTTACCAAAATTGAAATAGGATAATCAGAATCCTGGCCTTCATAATCAAACAAAAACTAAGAAGATGATTTGAAGAGTTTGAAGCAATCGTACGCACGTAAGTGTTGAGCCGGCGAACGACATTGGAGAAATTCGTGTTGTGCTTGAAGTATTTTGGGAGTTCGGGGCAAAGGCATCAATATTATCTATTTTGTTTCTTTAGTTTTTTGTTTTATTTTATTTTCTTTATATATGTAAAACAAATATAACACATGTGGTGTATTTTAATACACATGTTTGTGCCAGATAAGAGCTACGTAGGCGGATGGCTCCGTAAGAAAAACAATCGGATGGCTCCATGAAAAAATCAGAACTGGTTATTACTATTTCTAAAAAAAAAATTAGAACTAATGAATAATATGAAATGAAGTTAGAATACATTTTCAATTGCCCTCTTTGATAAGCTCAAATCATAATAGTTGCAAAACATCTATTTTATTGATCAATAAAGTACATTTTCAAATGTAGATTTTAGACCACATGTAAATATGTTTTTTTGGGCTGAACTTTAAAGATCTCCAGTTGCTAAACCAATCCTTAATTGCTAAGCAAATCTGGAGAATTTTCACTAAGCCCAACCTGTTGGTGAGTAGAATTTTGAAGGCTAAATACTTCCCTGACCACTCAATTCTGAGAGCAAAAAGAAGCACCAACGGGTCATGGCTTTGGAACAGTTGGATGATGAGCAAAGAATCAATGCAAAGAGGAGTGAGATTTGAAGTGAAGAATGGGCAGTCAATCAATGTGTGGGAGGACCCATGGATACCAAACCTGCCAAAATTCAGACCTACCACTATGATGAATGCCAACATGAATTCCTTGAAGGTGTGTGAACTGCTAAATGACACTGGCAGGGGTTGGAATCTTGATTTATTGAAGCAAATGTTCAATGATACAGATGTGAATGCAATCAGAAACATCAAAACTCTGGAGCTTTCATCAAGGGACAAAGTGATTAGGGAATGCTCACAAATGGTGAATTCTCTGTTGCCTCTGTCTACAATAAACTGGTCTGGGACAAGTGGGGGCAACTGGACAAAGCAGAAACCAGTGGTGAACAGCAGAAAAGTAGAAAGGTGAGGAAAAAGAGCTGGTCTCTCAAGATAAAAGGCAAATTAAAACACTTTCTCTGGAGATGTTACTCAAACATACTCTCTGTTAGCTGCAACCTAAGGAACAAAGGCATACAAATGGATGACATTTGCAGGACCTGTGGAGAAGCCCCAGAAACAATTACACATCTATTCTTTCATTGTGCTAAATCTTGTTAGAATCAAGCCAAAGAAAGAAAATATATATATAATAATAATGGTAGGCAAAAGAAAACAAAAGAAAAGGAATCCTGCCACATGAATTTTGGCTAATCCAGCTAAAAATTT